TACTACTACTACTACTACTACTACTACTACTACTACTACTACTACTACTACTACTACTACTACTACTACTACTACTACTACTACTACTACTACTACTACTACTACTACTACTACTACTACTACTACTACTACTACTACTACTACTACTACTACTACTACTACTACTACTACTACTACTACTACTACTACTACTACTACTACTACTACTACTACTACTACTACTACTACTACTACTACTACTACTACTAAGTAGTAGTAGTACTACTACTACTACTACTACTACTACTACTACTAGTACTACTACTACTAGTACTAGTACTACTACTACTACTACTACTACTACTACTACTACTACTACTACTACTACTACTACTACTACTACTACTACTACTACTACTACTACTACTGCTACTGCTACTGCTACTATCGCTACTGCTACTACTACTACTACTACTACTACTACTACTACTACTGCTACTACTACTACTACTACACATGGAGAAAGTTTTTTTTGATTGGAAAAAGTTTTTTTGATTGGTGAAAAAGTTTTTTGATGTTCGCTGAAAGTTTTTTTTGATTAAAAAAGAGTTGTTTTTTGATGGGTTTCCCGTCAACGGCTGAGATGGCTTCCGTCACCTCCATTCTTTGTGCCTACCAGTGGAGTGCCGGGGTCCCGACTCCTACGTGACCGCATGGGAGGCGCCTGGGTTAAGCAAGGGGTTGCTAAGGGTTTCTTGTGGGGTTTACAAGTTTAGTGAGGTTGGGGTTGCAGATTTGTTTAGAGGATTGGCACTTTAGCGCAGCTTACTTAGCACATAGGCGATGAGTAGAGTTGTAAGTAGCTCACTTGGGGTTATCCTGCTTACAGCCCAACTTGTAACGTGTCTCCGAAGCCCCTTGCCCCTTGGAGTACCCAAACTTTAAACCAGAGATTAGGGTTCAGGGGTTTAGGGATCAGGGTTCAGAGATCGGGGCTTAGGGAGATCAGGGTTTCGGGCTGATCAAAGGGGAAAAGGAGGGACCCTTAATCGGGACCCCTACCCTATAATGGGCTATGTTCGTGGGTATTTTCTGGATATATTATAAAGGGTATATACCTAGGGGTCCTTAAACCCTAAACCCTAAACCCCTAAACCCTGAACCCCTAAACCCTGAACCCCTAAACCCTAAAACCCTAAACCCTATAATGGGCTATTTTCGTAGGGGTCCTTATTAAGCTTCCCTCCTTTTACCCTTGGGGTTGAGGGTTCAGGGATCAGCTTGAAGGCTCAGGGGGGCCTAGCAAGCAGGCTACAAGTACGGTTGATATAGAGGCCTGAAAAACTGGAACATTTCAACCGAAAGCCATCAAGACCAGGACTTGGAGGTTCATGGGTGGTTATAAGTGGGCTTATAAGTCCCCTAATATGGTTTATAACTATAGTTACCTTACTGATTTTTCCCCACTTATAACTCCCCATGAACCTCCAAGTAGTTCAAATCCTCAACCCTAGATTCCGCCTATTTGTGAGTTCCATTTCCCTCGATTCTGCAACGGATATCCCGGACTCCGTATCACAGCCCAGACAGCCAGAACTGCCATAAGCTTGAAGCCCTGTCGTGCTAGGTCCCTAATGTCTGCTATTCCTCAAGCCCTGAGTGGAGGTCTGAATAGTGAGACATGGTCCCCTCCCAGAAAACTATACAAGAATATCCCCACGGATATCTAGTTTCATGCTTCATGCCGACAGAGTACTAGACCCTAGGCTCTAGTCTTGTAGAGACTTTATACAAGACCGATCAAAGCCAGAAAAGCTATACAACCCTTGCTTTCTGAGTCCTGATCCTCGTACAGAAGGTTTAATAATTGCGAAACCTCTTCCTCCATATTATTATGTTATAATGTACCCCAGAGCCCGTTTCGAGCTATTCAGGAGCCTTCTCTTACCCCTTGTTGGACTGCAGGGTACACCATATTCAACCCCCTAAACCCTAACCCTTCGAACCCCATATTGGAGTTTCCGAAATTAGAGGACCCTATATAGTACCCGAAAAGAAGCTTTCCTTATTTTAAGGACCCCAAAATGAGGTACCCCTAATTTTTTCGGAAACTCCCATATCGCGAGCAGGCAGTGGCCAAATGTCCGTCTCTGCGGACCTTGTCATTGTTTGTTCAAGGCTGGGTTCCTTCCCTAAGGTTTCAGGGTTCTGGGTCTTGTAAGGCGGGGTTCCTTCCCTAAGGTTTCATGGATCTGGGTCTTGTAAGGCTGGGTTCCTTCGGTAAGGTTTCATGGATCTGGGTCTTGTAAGTCTGGGTTCCTTCGGTAAGGTTTCAGGGTTCTGGGTTTTCTTTTGGGTTTGGGATTCGAACTCTTTGGGCTTCAACGAAGAAGCAAACAGGGCACTGCAAGATTCAGAACAGCAAACCACATAATGGGAGTCCATTGAGTTCACTGTAGGGGCCTAAACAACTGCCGATGCTATTTTGGGGGCTCCTTAGTATAGTTGTAGTATAAAGTCTACCAGTTCATCAAATATGGGGGCATAAATAATTACTGATACTAGTTTGGGGGTTCCTGATTATGTTTTCGTATAATGGGCCCCAAGACCCTATTCTAATTATTGAGGCCACTGTATTACCAGTTCATTTACATGTGTTGGTTTCCGCGTGAGTTAGTAGCGTTCTGGAAAACTAAACTGTTCGTTCCTTGGGAAGGTCCTTGGTGGGTAGCCAAGTATGGGTTTAGGTCCTTGGGGTTTGGAGGGTCTAGGGGCGTTTGTGAGGGTTTGGGGCTCCAGATCTGGGAAACCCGCACCGGATTTGCATTCCCCGAGTGTAAAGAGCCAAGTGTGAAGCTTTAGCGTGTTAGGTTTAGAACTGAGTGGCTCAGGGTTGAGGATTTACCTGGACCCTGAAGAACCTGCCCTTTTTAAGGACTTGTACAAGGACATCATAGTAAGGAACCCTAACAAGGTAAGTTCTTTAGGGTTCAGGTAGAGTTTAGGTTTCGCAGCTTTGGTCTGTTCTAGTATATGAAAGCTACTACAGTGATAATTAGAGATATTGTTATAGTTTATTTTAGCTTTTGCTGCAGTCATTCTGGGTTTAGGATTTAGGAATTTAGGGCGGTATACGGCAGTGTGCAGAGAGCCCAGTGACCTTCAACTCACGGACTCGCAAGGAGCAAAAGGGGGACCCACGAGCTGGTTGAAGTGTATGTTCCTTAATAATACCTAAACCCCACGTGACCTACCTTTTTAGGGACTTATATAAAGAAATCATATTAGGGGGGCCCTAAAAAGGTAGGTTACGAAGGGTCCAGGTAAGGTTTAGGCTTTAGAGTTTAGGGTTTGTGCTATTTCGAAGGTTGCGGTATTCCATTTTCAACTATCGCACAATATGTCCCAGGACACTGTTTTCATTCTTAAGGCTTAAGGCCCGCATATGGGAGTTTCCGACAATAGGGTTACCGGGGTACCTTATTTGGGGGTCCTTATAATAGGGATTCTACTATTTAGGGTACTACATTAGGGTCCCCTATTTTCGGCAACCCCCATAACATGTTGCTTAGTTCAGGACTGGGGCTGATATGGGATTTCTCAAAGGGTGAAAGGAGGGACCCCTAATATAGGGTTTAGGGTTTTAGGGTTTAGGGGTTCAGGGTTTAGGGGTTTAGGGTTTAGGGTTTAAGGACCCCTAGGTATATACCCATAATATTGCCATTATTTATACCCATTATATAGCCCATTATAGGGTAGGAGTCCCCATTAAGGGTCCCTCCTTTTCCCCTTTGAGTTTCTGGTACCCCCTAGACTTTAACTAAGACAAACCTCGAAATCCCATTCAAGCTATGCAGGCCCCTACACTCATCGTAGCCCTGTTAATAGTAACCGTCATAGGAAAAACCCTAAACTCCAAACGCCCTGCGCCCAAACCTGCCCCAAAACAGTTTCGGAACAGACGACAGCAAGCCAACTTCGGCAGGAAAGGCAATGAAAGTTGAGGGTGAGAAGCTGGAAAGGATCAGCACGGCGGCATCTCACTTCGAAGTTGTAGTAGGTTGATTGTGATGAAGCCAGACTCTAGTATGAATTCGGAGCATCGGGGCTTCAAATCCCCTTACGGCAAGGGCCTTAATCATTAGAGCAGCCAGGGCTTGTGGGGGGGGGTGGCAGGTATATAGCAAATTGGAGTACCATGCTTCTTTCCGTTCAGTCCCTGTGGAGCCCGCATTGAAACGGCCCTTCTCCGCAACTTTGCATTTGTTATCACAGTCCTGTCACAAAACTCTGTCCCGCAAATCCTAAACTTGCTAAATCCTAAGTAGCAAGGCCCGTAGTTGGTCCGGATCTTGGCAAAGGTCGCAACGTGAGGTCCCCACTCCCCCATGCGCCGCTAGACCCCGCTGCTCTCAGTAGTCATCTGGGAGTTTCCGAAATAAAGGACCCTAATGTAGTTCCCTAAATAGTAGGATCCTTGTTGTAGGAAACTCCCGAAAATCTACGATGTTTACGTAAGGGTTTGGATGATAAGGTAGCAGAACGACAAGTGTGAATGGTTCTTACTATTCACAAAGTCTTTAAGACGGGTTCTGGAGGCTTTCTGCTGGGTCCCCCAATAAAACCCTTCCTAACCATTGATATTGGAGGAGCTAAGGAGCCAGGGATGATGATAATCCCTATTAAATAAGGAGCTAAAGAGCCAAGGGAACCCCAAAACCACTGGTTAGCTTCTATCCGGTTCATATTGTAGCGGCACCCTTGTTATTGAGGGGATGCTGGAAGCTTCAGTGAATACAAAGACTTGACGTTTTGTTGCTGTGAGCAGCTTCTACGTGCAGGTTGAGCATGATCGAAGCTGCATTGGTAATTAGCAAGCTGATCAGGCGATCCAAAATCCTGGACCTTATATTACGGTCTGCGTGGATCCAAAACTGCCGGTCAAAGTAAGCAAGCAAAACTATATTTCGGTTTCTAATGTAGACTCCTGCAAGAAATCCTGGCAACCATGAGCAGCTAAGGTTCAGTCGATGGAGCTGGAGTCCTTGCAGGTCAACGTGCCGCCCGGCAATGGCTTCTTCAGCCAAGCGTTGATCCTGACTGACGACAAGCAAGAACGAAACAATGCAAGCGATGAGAATGTTGCTAGTTTTGTAATAGCAATACTCATAATCCGAACCATCATCATACTGGTAACCATCATCATGCGCATAAGAATAATCGTATCTGCGGCAGTAGTAATCACACGAGTCTTCACAACAATAGCCAGAGCAATACGAAGAACAAAAAGAATCATAGTCATTGAAATGAGAAGAAGAGAATGAATCCGAAAGAAGAAGAGTAATGTAGGAACCTGGTTAAGCAACCCTGGGCCTATTACCCCAAAATAGTAGGTTTCATGTAAGGAACCCGAATGAATACAGACCCAAGGTTCCTTCATCAGGTTCCTATATTAGCAATGATCCTTATAGCCCCTAAAAAATCCCCAATAATAGTCTACAGAATCCATTCCCCCATTCCCTACTAAGAACCAGACAGACGATAGTACCTCTTAAAGATCCCTTTATAGGATCCCTTATAGATATTTTAGGATCCCTTAGCCGCAAACCTCAGGACGGCGCTGCAAGGTGGCCTGGGCCAACTTCGCTGGCCGACTCTCGGGCGTGATTTTGAGGCGTCAGGACTCAAGGCATTTTTGCTGAGTATGGAGGTTTAGGGTGTCGTGTCGGGTTTAGGGTTTATGGTTTGGGGTTTAGGGTTTGGGGTTTAGGGTTTAGGGTGTGGGGTTTAGGGTTTAGGGTTTATGGTTTGGGGTTTAGGGTTTCGGTTTTAGGTGTTGACATCTTTTGACGTTTTATACCATTGGCTTTCTGATGGGTGTCTCCGCATATTTCAAACACAAACTGTTGTGTAATCGGGGCTCACAAGGGTGCTACGAGGCAATTCTTGGACTTCGTTGCTCCGATGAACTTGGCATTTCCTCCATGCCAAAACCCTAAACCAGGCTGTTCAGTGGTACACTTCTTTTCTCTCAGGTTTCTGGGTTCCTACTATAAAATAAGAAACCCCAAAAAAGTATATACTATTCCCAATGGCTTACTAAACAGCCTAGTGAAGCACTTCAGGGCTCAGGCTACATCTTCAAGGGGTACTTGGAGGGTCGGGGGACTTAGTAACTGGTTATTTTAGGGACTTATAAGTACCATAACCCCAATTCGAGTCCCTTTTAGGGTACTTATAAGTCTACTTACTACCTACTTACTGAGTCCCCCGACCCTCCAAGCATCTGTTCCCCTCGTGGCCGCGATACAAGGCGTCAGAGACCGCTGCGTGAGGCTTTCCGCCCAAACTCGGAAACTTGAGCCGGTCTGCGCCAGACTGGGAAGCTGGCAGCACTTCTGAAGTAGATTAGCAAGAGTAGTCTAACCACTGATATTGCAGGAGCTAAGGAGCCAGGGGTGATGATAACCCCTACTTAATAAGGAGCTAAAGAGCCAAGGGAACCCCAACACCATTGGTTTGTAATAGTAATCATAAGTAGCGTCAAGCTACCCGAGGTCGGCTTATCCCACATATAGCCCGACTTGCTGCCTACAAGTACTCTGGCCAGAACGGGTCCATGGTGTCAAGCGGCGCCTCAGCGAGGGTCCCAGAGACTCCAATATCCCTTAATTAAGGAATATTCCTTAAATCATATTAGGGATCCTACTATAATTAAGGTATATTCCTTAATTAAGGGGTATTGGAGTCTCTGGGGTTGTTGAACTCATGTAGCCACGAGATTGGGTATTCGCTTGGACCATCGGCTACTGGATGCCACATCTCGCTAGGATTATCGAAACAGCGCGGGTTTGGGCCTAAACCACAAGCCTGAAGCCTAAATCCTAAACGTCCTAAACCTTAAACCCAGAACCTTAAAATCTAAACCCTGGCCCTGCACCCTAAACTTAGGGGTACCTTATTTTGGGGCTCTTATAAGAAGGATCCTACTATCTAGGGTACTATATTAGGGTACCTTATTTTGGGGCTCTTATAAGAAGGATCCTACTATTTATTGGGTACCATATTCGGGTCCCCTATTTTCGGAAACTCCCACCGTGTTGTGGTCATGTCTGGGGCTTGGATGGGGATCCTCTTACGCACAGGGTTATAGTAGGAGCCAGAAAGTTGGAACATAGCTTTAGGAGGATTAGTGCTAGGATCCCCTATACTTTACTTGAAGGGCATGAGGCTCATGATGTTCCAACTTTCTGGCTTCTACTGTAGGACCAACATCAGGGCAACGATACCTCTACTTCAAGACTACCACAAGCGTAAACGCGAGACCCTAAACCCCTGAACCCTGAATCCCTACATGTTTTCATATGCTAGCTAATGTAGGGGCCTGAATAATTAGAGTAGGGTTTGGGTGTAGGCGTCACGAAAGAATGTCAAGGCACACCCCAAACCCCATTCTAATTATGAAAGTGTCTACACTCGGTGCCTTGAGCTGTCTCAAACAGCTGCGCGACCAGGAAGGAGCTTCGTTCGCTACGAGTCCTTGGAGAGGACTTCTGCAGAGGAGCCCTACTCAGGAGTTTCATTGGGTTTGATCAGAGTTTCATTGGATTTGATCAGAGTTTCATTGGGTTTGATCAGAGTTCCATACGGGTCAAAACAGGGTTTTGCAAGGCCTTTGTGATGAGTTTTTCCGTGTTCGAAAGGTCTCACTGGGAGCCTCTCACTTACGGAGCTTACCCTGCCTTAAACTACTAAACCGTACGTCTTTGTAGGTTCTTATCATGAACCCTAATAAGAAACTCAAAGGGACCCTATAAAAAGAAAGTAGGTTTTCGTAGGTTAAGGTACAATCCTAAACCCAACGCAAACTATCGGATGGCTGTAGGATTCCACAAGGCTACAGCTGAGGTCAGGCTTTGGAAGTCACTGAAGTGTTTCAAGAAGGATTTAGGGTTGAGGGTTTAGGGTTGAAGGTTTCGGGTGTAGGGTTTAGGGTTTAGACAAAACCTCGAAAATATCCACTTCCCACTCTTCATATGTTTGTTCTGTACTCGGGCATTCCTATACCCATATGGCCATATGGTGCATGTACACATAGCACACGGTGTTCGTCGTTCTGTCTTCGGGCCGGCGGGTTCTCCCTCTCCGGAGAGCCCAATACACCTTAACTCAGGAATATATTCTAATAAACGATATTATGAAGCCCATGAAAATTTAAAGTATATGGTCCTAAACCCCTAAACCCTAAACCCCTAAATTCCTGAATAAAAGGATATTGGGCTCTCCGGGTCTGCTGTCAACCCCAGGGGCAGCCGATCTCTGCAGCGGCGGTTTCGCCGAACGTTTGTGCGAAACGGCGATCGAAGACTTGCATCTGGACAGAGCCTGGGACGAAAGGAAATCCGCCAGTTCTTTTAGGGTTTGGGGTTTTTAGCGCTTAGAGTTCAGGGTGGTGTAGGGTTTAGGGTTGAGGAGAAGACAGGAAATCCGCAGTTCTTTTTGGAAAGGGGGATGGGATGGGACAGTTAATATGCACGAAGGTATGTATGTGTATCGATGTTATTCATAGAAACATGCTGTCTGCCGCGTGCGTGCGTGCACACCGTTGTAAATAAGACTGATGTATGCTGAATAATAAATAAAGAACAAGTTCCTCAAACTAAGCCCCAACCGAAACCAGCAACTCCAAACCCCCAATCCCTCAAGCTTTGAACCCCGAGTCCTGCTCCAAACATAGGGGTCCAAAAAGAAGTAATGTCATTCCCTAAAACTTCCAAACACAATCATAGAGCAATAGACCCCCACCCCCACACCCATGAAGACCCCGATATTGAGTGAACTCTGCAAGGTTGGCGCGGCTTGAGCTCCCGTGGCTTCAGCAGAATCCTGGCTGCTATGGCCGGCAGTCAGCTCAAGCGGTGACTCAGCTGAACAGGTTCCGAGTCCCAGTTCCCGGAATCCCAAAACCCCAGACCCTAAACCCCCAAAGTTTCAAGTTCTAGTTCGCTAAACTCTAAACCCAAGAAGTCACTCAAGGTACCTCTGACTCCACTGCCGCCGTTGTCCTAGAACGGGTTGTGTTTTGCCGCGCAACCGCTGGAGATTGTGTGCCACTTCCCCTTCGCCTGCCGTCGGACAGCAGGAACATTCGAGGAGCCAGCGGCAACGGGAGGGAGCAAAAAGCCCTAAACCCGAAACCCTAAACTAGGTAGGGCTTTGGGACATTTTATATTTTCTCTTATTGGGCTTAAGAGGATCTTACCTACTAATATTTTTCAAAGGCTTTAAAAGCCCCTCCTAGTAAAGCGTAACAACAAAAAGGCTAACTCAGGCCATCCCCCTCTTCAGCCAAAGCGGTTCTGTACAAAGGGATCCTCACAACGGCTGATGATATAAATCCTAGGGTTCCTTTAAAGGGATCTATAGGTGTACCTCTAAGGGGCTCCTTTAAGGGATCCCTGAGGGTTAAGGGTTTAGGGCTTATGATATAAATCCTGCATTACCCTAAGGACCCTAAACTATGGTAATTATGGTATATTCCGTATTATGGGTAATGCAGGATTTATATCATCAACCGAAGTACCAGGATGTCGAGCAACATACAACCCGGTGAAAACGTGTAGGAAGAGCGTATGGCAGCCCGCCTACTTGGGTGTTCATGGGTAGTTATAAGGGTTCCTTCAAGGGTGCCTTTAAAGGGATCTATAGGGATGCTAAAAGGGTATAGGGTTTACGGCCTACTGAGAGGTTCATGGGTAGTGATAAGTTGGGTTATAAATCCCCTAATATGGGTTTTAACTATAGTTACCCTAATTATAACCCCACTTATAACTCCCCATGAACCTCCAAGTACAACCGAGACCGCAAAGCTTTTGAGGTCTGAGCCATTAGTACTACTATTCCCTTTTCGCGCGTAACTCTAACAGACACGAAAACCCTTTTCTACGCATTAAGGCCCCTGCATGAATCCCTGGAGGCCCTGACCTTAAATCCCTAAACTAAACAGGGGAACACCACCCAACCAACAATTAGGCTTCAATCCGAAACCCTCAAGCCCTTAACCCTGAACCAGTAAGAAGCAATAACCTTAAACCTTAAACACAAACCCATGAATTGCCAACCACCACGAAACAAAGACAAAAAGAGATAGGTGCCCTGTACAAAAGCTAGGGGGAGATCCCGCCCTCACTCCTGAATCCCCACCCGAGCCCGCCAGTATTAATATACTTTGTCCCCAAAGTCCCTATATAGGGACTACTTTAAGGCCAATGTACATACGATTCGGGCACATGGACCCTTAGGGAAGGCACCCACACCCGGCAAAAAAAGTATGCGAACCCGATTTCGGAACCCTAAACCCCCAAGTCGCCGCGGTTCTCGTTTGTCCCAGGTTGCAGATCTCTTGGTTGCGCTCGCCGGGGACGCTTTCTTTCACTTGCAGGGTTTAGGTTTGAGAGTTTCTGCAGGGCTTTCTTAAGGTCATCAATAGCAGTTTTTCCAAGGGCCTTACCCGGTTTTGCAGGGTCTTTATGGTTGTTTGTATAAGGGCTTGAAGGCTTACAGCTCTTAACTAGTAGCACGGCGGGATGGTTTTACACGTTGCTTAAAGCCGGTCGAAGATGATGACTCATGCATGAACACTTTCAGGGGCCCCTGACCTACAACCCCCATTAAAGGATCTAGAGCTTCAAGGTTTGGCTTTGCGAGTTTGTGGGTCTCACCTTGTTAACTAACGATCTTGGTTTTGTGTTTTCAGTCGGTGTTAGAAGAATTGTTAAGTGGGGTTATTAGGGCTTTATAGGGTTATGCAAGGGTTCCGTGCAACGTCGCCTGAATAGTAATCCGCCAACATGGTTTTGCGCATTTCCGGGTGCAGGGTTCACGGTTGAGGGCGCCGAGATTGAGGGTCCGGTTTTTGATCGCGTAAACCCAAACCTTGCTTTAAACGTTCAGACTAGTCTTAAGATCCCCTTCAGGTCCCTATGTAGCACAGACCCCAAACCCGAGAAAGTCCTTCCTTGGCCTTATGGTCCTAAAGAAGCCATGGCCGCGACGTTATGTTCAATAATGACAGCAATACTGGTAATTTTTGTTGTCACAATCGTAATCAGGGTTATGATAATATTCATGGGAATGACCATAATAATAACGGTAAGAAGGATTATCATGGCAATGATGACTCCCCGGGCTTGGATTCAGGAGTGAGCAGGACCTTCCTTGGCTTTCAGTATTGGATTTACGAGCTTTCAGGTTTTGGGGTTTAGGGATTAGGGTTTAGGGTTAAAGGCGCAAGGGTTTAGGGGTTTAGGGGCGCATAGAGTCCACAGTTCCAGGGGGCTTCGGGCATCCTATTAAGGGGGGGAGGTGTTTTTCCTCGAGTGTTTCTTCACTTGGGCCATGAACCGTAAGTACACCACCTTTCAAACCCACCAAGCCTTGAAGTAACCCGATACGCGTGCAAGTTCTTTGGAAGGGGGGGGGGTTCGAAAACGTATGTGCCCTAATATCATCGTGACAAGGAGACAGGTCTTTGCGATGCTGGCGGGATTCATTGAGGCCGCAGTATGCAGCTTGGCTGGTGCCCTCCATACAGAAGCCCCGCCAGTTGTAGAATTATTTGGTCAGCTACACTCTCATTGCAAGAAAAGTACAAGCGGCCCGATCTTAAATGGCCCTAGAAAACACTCCGCACATTCATCACCCTAAACTCAACCGTGAGCCCTAGAGAAGCAAGACTAGGGCCTGAGCCCTGAAATCCCACACCCTGAAACCCACTCTGAGGGCTATGAGCACCCTGTGGCTGACGGATGTTGAATTTGGGCAGTGTGGCAAGTCCTAAAGGCGTATGGAACTGTACAGTGATTCGCGTAAGTCTTTTTAGTGCCATCGAACCTTTCGAAAATGCTTAAACCGTTGTAGGATTCTTAACATCCTCGAAACTCCTAGAAAGCCTTTCGCCTCTTTGTGCACTCCCGTCAAGTATCATTGAAAGTCCCCATACCCCTAAAGCCTCATAGAAGCCCTTCAAGGAACCCTTAAACGAAGCCCATAAGCCCTATGCCCAAAGGAACCCTTCTGGGAGCCTTCATACCTGAGGCCTTCGCCAGATGGTCCTGGACATCCCTCCCGGGCAGGACTCCAATATCCGAAGCAATGTACCTAGGGGGCTCCTTTAAGGGATCCTTTCAGGGATCTACAGGGTTTCCGCCTTTAGGGGACTCCAATATCCTTTACTGAAGGAATATGCCTTGAATCATATTGGGAATCTTGCTGCAATTGAGGGTATCTTAATAAGGAATATTGGAGTGGCTCATGATACAGAGTTGTGATAGGTGCGTTTCGGCTTGGTGCAGGGCAGAAGAAGGAATGCCGTTACAGTTTGAGGCATCCCCCCTAGATAAGAAGCATTGGGCCATTTTTGAGGAGGGTTCCAGAAATTCTGTCCGCCGCTCACTCCCCAGCTATCATAGGGCCCGTTGGAACGTCTAGTCTCGAAGCCCCGAACCCCAATGCCCTAAAATCTTAGACAAGTCTCTACTTGGAGGTTCATGAGCAGCTATTAGCGGTGTATAAGTTGCCCATATTAACGAACTTATAGCCCACTTATAACTACCTAAACCCTAAATCCTCTAGATCCCTCAAACGAACCCCTTTATCCCCACTTTTAACTACCCATGAACCTCCAGGTACGGCCAGTTAAACAACTTGCCTTTCTGGAGGAGTGGTCCGTAGACCCCGACGCTTTCCACTTGGAGGCACCGAATTTCCGAAGCCGTTGATGCTAATTTAATGAATGGTATGGTAGTAATAGAATATACACAAAATTAGTACGTTGTTGCAATAAAGCATCAATATACTAGTACAGTGGTATAATGGTACTATGATGCTAAAGACACAAAGAGATGTATAGTAGCAATACGAGGAAGTTTGCGGTCCCAGACCGCCGGGAGGATCTAGAAAGTAGATCCCCGAATTTGGAGCCCTATACTACGAAGGGTACTTTATAGGAACCCCCATTAAGGGATCTCCTTTTTGGATCCTCCAAAGGGGGGTCTGGCTTAGGGGCCGCAGCGAAAGATTGAAAAGCTATGTGTTGAGGCCAACAGGTCCGGCACTGATGACCCTAAGTAGAAGGTACTGTTGATGATATAAGTCCTGCATTACTTTAAGGATCCTAAACTATGGTAATTATGCCATATTCATTATTATGGGTAATGCAGGGTTTATATCATCAACCGTACTTACGAAGAACGGCGCGTTTCCTTTCGTGAAAGAACGACATGGACCTACCTAGGGTTCTTAAAAGAGTTCTGAATTAAATCTACTTCTACTACGGGTTCTACACAGGGGGGGTTGAGACGGTGTCTAGGATTTTTTTATAGTTCTTGATTTAGATTCTTTTGGGCTCCTGCCAGGAAAGGTGGTAAAACACCAAGGCCCAAGGCCAATTATTCAGGCTTCTGTATTTACGCATACTTTCTCCAGTACCCGGCAGTTTCGTTTCTCGTCCTCTTCTTAGGTCTTGGATTTCCGCTGGGTTTGCGGGCAGGTAATGACGGGAGTTCCACAACATGTTTACGATGTCCTCCGACTAGCTGCAGCAGGAAGTGGCGATGCGCAGAGATGTCTCCATTCTTTGGTGCGGCGGAGGGCCGCTGGTACAGGACGAGTGGAAAGAGTAGTTTAGTAGAGGTGCCCTAAAAAAACAGAACATGGTTTTGGTGTATACTATTACCCATAAACCCTACACCCCTAAAGCCCTAAAACCCTAAGCCCTAAACTCTAAGCCTAAAGAAAGCTGGAGTACACTATACAATAAGGACAGCTCATCTGTTTATTGAGGCCCATAATAACTCTGCTAAGGCCTTTGAGCCGCCAAGTGTCATAAGGCATCAGGGTCGAGGTGTAGGGGTCAGAGGCCTGGAAGGCTGCCTACAAAGGGGCTACCCAGCAACCTAGAACTCAACCCTAAACCCTAAAGCCCTAAACCCCTAAACCCTAATCCTCAAACCCTAACGCAAATTCAGAGTTTCTTCTCTAAGGGATCCTTAGTCCTAGCTACCTTCGTCCCACCTGTGGAGGCCTCCAAATAGGTTACACTGGATTTAATTGCAGCAGCGACATCTATAGAGATCCGTGTCTCGTAACCCCCCCCCCTAATCAAGAGGTTTCTAGTTGGGATGCTCTGTGACTGGTTTGTTGCCGGACCCGTTTCCAATTTTAAGGCCCCTATATTATAGTAACATAGAACCCTAATGTAGAACACGTTTTTGGGAACCTAATATAAAACCCTTTTAAGGGACCCTAATATAGAACCATTTCAAGGGACCCTTCAAAGGTATCAGAGTTCTGAGGTCTTATAGGACTTTAGGGCCTTTTTAGATATCAAAAACCATAAATAAGGACTACTAGGACCCTTAGGGATTACGAACAGATCAGAAGTCTAAACCCTAAACCCCTAAACCCTAAACCCCTAAAACCCTAAACCCCTAAACTTAAGGCCTAGGCCGCCCACCTCCGTGGGTGGGCGGCGCTTAAGCCCCTCGACCTCGATGGCTTTCCACAGCCATGGGGACAGTAGCACCCACGTCGTACCCGGTACCGGAACACGTTCTCCTCGGGACCAGTACTGGTCCCGAAAGAAGGTCATTACCCTGAACCCTGAATTTCCACACCCCTAAGGGTGGCTGGCCTTTTGGGCCCCCTTCCAAAAAGGCCCCCCAGGCCCCCCCAGGCCCCCCAGGCCCCCCCAGGCCCGCCAGGCCCGATAACCCTGGCCCCCTGACCCCCTCTGGTCTGCCTTGCCCCGACCTGCTGCTGGTTCTTGCTTGTTCATTTTTTTGTGCATTTTCATTATGGCCCGGTGCCAAAGTCGAGGTCCCCTCCTTTCTTGGTGTGGGCCTAGTCTACAGAAATAAAGAAAACCATCGAATGAGTTTAGGGGCTAAACCCTAAAAGGAATAGGTTTGGGTGGTTTGGCCGCCTTAGACGGCGTGGGGTGGGAGAGTTCAAAGAAAGAGCCATCCACCATCAGGCTCCAACAGCCAATCGTCATATTACGACGCACTCGACAATACACTGTCGCAAGCTACTTCCGCTTCTGCGCCACTCTACGGCAAACCCTAAACCCCTAAACCCTAAACCCCTAAACCCTAAAACCCTAAACCCTAAAACCCTAAACCCTAAACTACGTTTAGATCAGAAGTGGGTGTGCCCGCTCCGAGACCAGCCTCCAGGCCCGGGGCATCCAGCTAAGGTTAGACGCCAAACACTACTTGGAGGTTCATGGGTAGTTATGAGGGTTCCTTTAAGGGTTCCTTTAAAAGGATCTATAGGGATTCTATAAGGCGTGTAGGGTTTAGGGCCTACTTGGAGGTTCATGGGTAGTGATAAGTGTAGGGTAACTGTATTCATAACCCATATTAAGGCACTTAGAACCCAACTATTATTACCCATGAACCTCCAAGTAACCCTGAGACTCAAACCCGGCCCCCGTTCCAGGAACTGACGATGGAGATTGTAATCCTACATCCTGTATAATACGCATCATCTTAGGACCCTAAAATTCCTGCCCCGAAACCCTTGTATAAAGCCCTTAAAACCGTTTCAAAACTCTCCTAGATCCTATACACAGCACCATAAAAGAAAGCCTATATAAAGCGCTAAGGTTTTGGGGTCTGAGGCCCTGAACCCTTAAACCCCCATGTGAAACCCTAAGGGTTTCCAGGACCTGGAGGTGGAGATTGTGGTTCTCTGAGTCCAGAGCTCCCATACCCAGACTCCCGGGAGGATCTAGAAAGTAGATCCCCGAATTTGGGGCCCTATACTACTAAGGGTACTTTATAGGAAACCCCATACCCCTAATTTGGGGCCCTATACTACTAAGGGTACTTTATAGGAAACCCCATAAAAGGGATCTACTTGTTGGATCCTCCAAAGGGGGTCTGGGTAGACGTCTTGGGCTGTGGGAGGCCCAAACGAAACCTCGAAGGCGCCAGGGTCAGAAAGCCCAATACCCCTTAATTAAGGGTTTAGGGTTTATGGGGTTTAGGGGTTTAGGGTTTAGGGTTTAGGGTTTAGGGGTTTAGGGTTTAGGGTGTAGGGGTTTAGGGGTTTAGGGTTTGGGGTTTGGGGTTTAGGGGTTTAGGGTTTAGGGTTTAGGGTAGCTTAAATCTTAATATGAAGCCCTATATGATTTAAGCCATATTCCTGAATTAAGGGGTATTGGGCTCTCTGGGGGGTCGGAGGGCCTTCGCTGCTTTGCTTAGGAAGGGTTTAGGGTTTTGGGGTTTCTTTGTTTAGGAAGGGTTTAGGGCTTCTTTGTTTAGTAGGGTTTCTTTGTTTAGGAAGGGTTTCGGGGTTTAGGTTTCTTTGTTTAGGAAGGGCTTCATGAGCTTTTAACAATGGCTCTGTGAGGTGTGAGGGTTGTTAATGACGGTTCTGCAAGGCTTTTCTTCTTCGTAAACGTGTATGAGCTATTGGTACACAAAAGTTATATCAGGGGTTTATGAGCTAGGACCCAGAGTAGGCCCTTATTCCCTTTTTTAGGGTTTAGGTTCTTTTTTAACCCCCTTTAACCCAAAAAGGGCACCCTTTTTATTCCTCGGCTACTCTTGGGTCTAGTGAGGGTGTTATAGCGCCTTGACAGGCTGATTTATGGTTCTATTCTATGAGGATTGAATGTTGCATTAGCGGGCCTTTACGTGGTCTCTAATGATTTTATAAAGGTTTGTCAGGTGTTATGAAGGTTTAGCAAGAGCTTAGTTCTTGAGGCTTTTGGTGAAGCTGGCGCTCATACCAATCCGGACACGTACTTGCGCTACTTCCATGACAACATACTTGGAGGTTCATGGGTAGTTATAAGTTGAGTTATAAGTCCCGTAATATGGATTTAACTATAGTTACCCTACTTGTAACCCCACTTCTAACTCCCCATGAACTTCCAAGTACTGGAAGTCATGGCGGATGCGTACCAGACACCACACATACAGAAGCTTACCCCGACATTTCCCGTGGAAACGACTATGAATCCTACAACCTGCGAATCCCGTAAACTCCTAATAGCCTACTTGGAGGTTCATGGGGAGTTATAAGTGGGGTTATAAGTAGGGTAACTATAGTTATAACTCAGTCATATGAGGGGACGTATAAGCCCACTTTTAACTCCCCATGAACCTCAAAGTTATAGCCTAAGCCCTGAATAAACCATGTTGCATCCACCCATTTGCTTGACATGACGTTATGGGGTCAACACTGGGAGTCTGTTGACAAGCCGACTCCTTCGCAGGGGTCTGTGTCATAGCAAACTGTCACCAGCTTGCAGGTGCACGTCGGAGTACTATCCTGTATGACCCTTGTTATGTTATATGGGAGTTTCGAGGAGTTAGGGGTACCATATTTCAGATCCGTGAATAAGGATCCTGAACTACCGACCCACTGTCACCTTGAAAATTAAGTTCCAGACCAGGTTTGGTTCTCGCTTTGTTCGGTCTCGAATGCTTGCCACAGTGGTTTAGGGTTACGGATTAGTTTTTTGGATTTAGGGTGTAGCTTTTAGAAAACCGCTCTCTCCTCCCAGCGCAATGCCCGTTAATGAGCCTCACCGTTGGAGTACTAGTTTCGGTGTGCTCTAGTCAGTTCATGCCAGCGAAGCGTCAACAATCGAAGAGTGAGGACTAAGGGGTATGGGGTCTAGGCCCTACTTGGAGGTTCAAGGGGAGTTATATGTGGGTTGTAAGAAGGGTAACTATAGATGATATAACCCATATTAGGGGACTTCTAACCCCATTTACAACTACCCATGAGCCTCCAAGTATGGGTAGTTCCGTTTTAGGTCCCCAGATTAGCACGGCACCCTTACAAAAAGGACCCTACAAATTACCCTAGCTTAGAGAACTGTCCATATGTTACCTGGCAGTATCTCACCTGAAATTCGAATCAGCTTCTTTTGTATGTGTTAAGCGTTCTATTGCTGTGTTGGGGAGTGTTTAATGCGCTTCTTGTGTATTTTTGCTCTTGGGGTTCTAGGGCGACTCGCAATACAAGCCCCACACTATGTGTACATATGGGCAGGTGTGAAAATTAGCGTCCCGCTCTGGGTCCTTACTATGATACGGCACCCAATATTTAGGGTACCCAAAAAGGTACCATAATTTTGACAACCACCCATATAGTTCTCTGTGTTATCCAGATTGATGGAGCAAGCCAGGCGATCAGTGCAAAGAAGCGTGGCCCCACCCGCTGTGGGAGTTGGTGAGGTGGTACGCTTTGGGCCTTGCATTGGCCTCTTTCTAAGAGCTGGGTATGTCTCAACTTCCGAAGCCGTGTTCGCTTCGTATCAAGTTCAGCTACAGATCAGGTGAAGTGTTCTAAGCATCATGACTGCGACTGCAGTCGCTGAAAGTCATTGCACTGAAGTGAGTAGAAGATTAGCCGCTGTGCACATGCGAGCCACCGGAAAGAAAACAACCCTAAACAGCAGAAGACGCTTCCGAACACAAACGCAAGAAACAACATCATCAACAACAACAACAACACAACAACAACAACAACAACAACAACAACAACAACAACAACAACAACAACAACAACAACAACAACAACAACAACAACAACAACAACAACAACAACAACAACAACAACAACAACAACAACAACAACAACGACAACGACAACGATAACGATAACGATAACGACAACGACAACGACAACGACAACGACAACGACCACGACGACGACGACGACGACGACGACGACAACAACAACAACCACAACCACAACCACAAGCACAACCACAACCGCAACCACAACGACAACCACAACGACGACGACGACCACAACGTCGTGAGAATTCATCTTGCCTGAATCGGGTATCGTCAGGCTTCAGGGTATCGAGTTTCAGGCTTACGGTATAGAGGTAGAGTTTGGGGATAGGTTGTAAAGGGATCGGGTTTGAGATTTCTCGAAGAATTCGGAAAGTGTTGCTTCTAATGTGCAGAGTATCTTGTCATCTGGTAAACAGAAACAAGTTACAGTTCAGAAACGAGGCATGCCCGGGAGACTCCTACATTACAGTAGTAGGGAAGAGCCGGGTGCAGAACAATCTGCCTGATCCATTCCCCTAAGGGTCCAAGCACCCAATAATCATGTACCCTAAGACATACAAGCCTACGAAACCCCTATCCTGAACCCAAGTGCTAAAGCATTGGGTACGTTGGACCTTTAGGGTCCTGTGGCAGGCTGCACCCCGTAGCATCAGGATCCCAATGGTCTCAACCTGCTCTTGCAATGCTGGCGCTGGCGTGATAACAGAGCCTCCAACCATATACTTGCGGAGCATTTCAATTCGAGCCGGGTGGCAGAGGCTGCCTTTTTGCTCGCCGCATGCACTCTTGCGCTCGCTGCGCCCACGCTCCACCTCTCTCAACATCTCTCCCTCTCTGTCTTGATCAAGCTTTATTGCCTCCTGACTCTCTTGCCAAGCTGCCTAGACAAAGGCATGCCTGTACAGATGGTTACAGATACTGTCCGTCATGGCCAATGGCCGACCCTGCACGGATTACCGGGGAAACAGTCGTAGAGGAACCACCAGGCCTCACGAACCAGCGCACCAGCCACGGAAGGAAGCAAATAACATCAACAACATCAGCGATCGCCCTGACAACCGTAGCCAATCGCTCAACCATAGGTTTTCAGTGACAGTAACATGGATAGTGGTGATAGTGGCAGTGGCAGTCGTCGTTGTACAACTACCCCCCCCCGTCAGCCCGAGCAGAAGGATCGCCACGATAAACTACTATTTACTTAAGAAGCCCCAAAAAAATTATAATCCCTATATTATCCCTATAAGGAATATATATTTTTTATTTTTTGGGGGGTTCTTAAGCAAATAGTAGTAAATGGTATTGTCGGCTTCTGAAAATAAGGGGTATCTTCCTTCAGCCTCCTTGTTATATACTCAAGGTCATGTGGTCATAGTCATAGTCTATATTAGGGTCCCCCAATTTCTGAATTCCCAATAGTCGTAGCTATACCTGTGAGGTGCAGAATGTGGTGATAACGACGACCATGTGCACATCCAACGACCACAGCCATCGCGTTGATGCTATGGACCGGAGTGGTGCTTGTCTTGTGTTCATGTTTAGAAGGGCCAGGTTCGTTGTGTTGCAAAGAATACAACCTTGACAAATCCAGAAGCAATAGTCAAAGGTGATGAGGGCAACACTGCTGATTGTGAAGATCAGAAACCCTAATCAGGATCCCTGATCCCTAAGCTGGTCCTCACTGATGGTAATCGTGAGGGGGAGGCCCAGAGAGTGCCCGAGGGCAGCCCATCATGGACAAGATCTGACCGGGCATTGCACCACCCGCCGAGGAATCCGCAGCGCTTGGAAAGCAATTTGGGAGTTTCCGAAAATAGGGGACCCTAATATAGTACCCAAAATGGTAGGATCCTTACTATAAGGACCCCAAAATGAGGTATCCCTTATTTTCGGAAACTCCCATTTGGGTGTAGGTCTTCAGTTTAAGTCTCAGGCTTTTGGGGCTTCAGCACCCTGAGCCCTATGCCCCTACCTTGCAGTCGAGAAGGTAACCTTTAAATTTTTTGGGGTAGTATAGTCCCTATATAATCCCTATATAACCAAAAAGGTTAACCTTTAGTTCCCCATGATACCCGACAAGTAGGCCTAACCTCAAAAACCCCGTCATGCCCAAAGCGACCTGGGCGGCTTGCCGGAGGAGTTAAGGTTGCGACTT